TCAAAAGCATCAATTTTTCGGCGCTCAGCTTTTTTCACAGTCCCAACTCTCACATCCATACATGACCATTGGAAAAACCATAGCCTTGACCAGACAGACCTTTGTTGGCAAAGTAGTGTCTCTGCTTTTTAATATGCCATCTAGGTTGGTCATAACTTTCCTTCCAAGGAGTGTCTTTTAATTTCATGGCTGCAGTCACCATCTGCAGTGATTTTGGAGCCCCCAAGAATAAAGTCTGACACTGTTTGCACTGTCTCCCCATCTATTTCCCATGAGGTCATGGGACCAGATGCCATGATCTTAGTTTTCTGAATGTTAAGCTTTAAGCCAACTTTTTCACTCTCCTCTTTCACTGTCATCAAGAGGCTTTTTAGTTCCTCTTCACTTTCTGCCGTAAGGGTGGAGTCATCTGCATATCTGAGGTTACTGATATTTCTCCCAGCAATCTTGATTCCAGCTTGTGCTTCCTCCAGCCCAGCATTTCTCATGATGTACTCTGCATATAAGTTAAATAAGCAGGGTGACAATATACAGCCTTGACATACTCTTCCTATTTGAACCCAGTCTGCTGTTCCATGTCCAGTTCTAACTGTTGCTTCCTGACCTGCATACAGGTTTCTCAAGAGGCAGGTCAGGTGGTCTGGTATTCCCATCTCTTTCAGAATTTTCCACAGTTTATTGTGATCCACACAGTCAAAGGCTTTGGCATAGTCAATAAAGCAGAAATAGATGTTTTTCTGGAACTCTCTTGCTTTTTTGATGATCCAGTGGATGTTGGCAATTTGATCTCTGGTTCCTCTGCCTTTTCTAAAACCAGCTTGAACATCTGGAAGTTCACAGTTCACGTATTGCTGAAGCCTGGCTTGGAGAATTTTGAGCATTACTTTACTAGCGTGTGAGATGATGCAATTGTGCGGTAGTTTGAGCATTCTTTGGCATTGTCTTTCTTAGGGATTGGAAGGAAAACTGACCTTTTCCAGTCCTGTGGCCACTGCTGAGTTTTCCAAATTTGCTGGCATATCGAGTGCAGCACCTTCACAGCATCATCTTTCAGGATTTGAAATAGCTCAACTGGAATTCCATCACCTCCACTAGCTTTGTTTGTAGTGATGCTTTCTAAGGCCCACTTGACTTCACATTCCAGGATGTCTGGTTCTAGGTGAGTGATCACACCATTGTGATTATCTGGGTCGTGAAGATCTTTTTTGTACAGTTCTTGTGTATTCTTGCCACCTCTTCTTATTATCTTCTGCTTCTGTTAGGTCCATACCATTTCTGTCCTTTACCGAACCCATCTTTGCCTAAAATGTTCCCTTGGTATCTCTAATTTTCTCGAAGAGATCTCTAGTCTTTCCCATTCTGTTGTTTTCCTCTATTTCTTTGCATTGATCGCTGAGGAAGGCTTTCTTCTCTCTCTCTCCTGGCTATTCTTTGGAACTCTGCATTCTAATGGAGAAATAGGTGCCTCATTTTCTGCTTATCTTTGGTGCCCTTCCAGTGGATTCTGAACAACCAGTACTTCCTCCTGTCATAGAAATTGTCCGAATGTATTGAAATTGCTTTTCTCACCTACACCCTTAGATGTCCAAAATATATTTCTTTGCCTCAAGCACTCTTATTTCTAAGAACTTCCAGGGCTTACCCTTCTTTTGCTTTATGTCCTTTCCACTCTGCTGATCCCTGCCTCTTCAAATATCAAGTATGACCATAGAGGCATTCTGGCTTTATGAATACAATATTAAAGGGGAATCATACCATCACAGATGAATTTTTGTTGAGGTACTATTTTTTGCATGTACTCACACCAACTTAATTTTTCAGTTTCTATACACACAGTACAGCAAAAACAATTTAAATTTTTCCTATTTTCATCTTACTGAAATAATTTCACTGGAAGTGTTTTTTTCTGTTATAAAGTAAGGAACTGATTAATAAATCAGTTTTTTTCCATATACCAAATTCTTCTAATTAGTTTTTGCCACTGAGTTCCTCAGGATCAAATTAAAATCTAATAAAATGTATCCAACCCTTTATTAAATTTGGTCAAGAACTATGGGTAGTTTTACCTTGTTAAATATTTCCATCAAGTCTTTCTAGAGTCAATTTTGGCAATTTTAAATCTTATAAGATGTGGTTCTTCAGTACATTTTCTTCTTCTTAATGCAGTCATCATGCACAGTGTTACCTATTCTGGTTTTATTTCTATAATGGAAATTCATTTGCTGCGATTTGGATAAACAATGGTTTGAATTCACTTCTTAGCTAAAAATGAGAAAATTGTAATTCCTCCATCAATTCTCCAAGACCATCCTTGAGGTCAAAACATCTCACCTCATCTCCTCTCCCCTCAGCTGTCTTCACAGCATTCACTCCTGCTTATTCCTTGGACCCCAGCTCAAGCAATGCTGGCACGGGGAATCCTCTCCTGATCTATTATCAAGTTTCCCTCTTTTTGCTTAAATAGTAATTTTAACTTTTATATCATAGTTTATATGAGTACTTCGCCTCTCTCATTAAACTTCGATCTCTGAAGGCAGAGACTTTTTCTTACCACTGGCTCCCTGGCATATAAAAGGCACTCAAATTTATTGAAAGGATGGAAAAGGAAAATAGTATCTTTCACCCTTAGTGCGCATATACTCCTAGGCACTCATTAAAAGCTGTCTGCATTTCCCCTTTATTTCTGGTTTGTTGTGGTCTGACAACAATGCATTTTTTCCCTACTGATTTTGAAATTGACTTCTTAATGCTGTACATTTTTAAGCTTTTAATAGCCACGCCACTCTAGCAGTGTCCTCCTCCTTTTTCCCAGAGCTGCCATAGCGGACAACCCCAGGAGGGTATGTGGTATTAAGTAGAGGAGGGGGTTATTTGATGCAGCAGAGATGCATCCTCACCTCCCTCTAAGAAAGAAAAAGCACTCGGCTATCTCCTAGAGTGAGTGAGAACAGCAGTTCTAAACCCTAAGCTGTATATCAAAATCACCTGGGATACTTGAAAACAGAAATGCTTGAGCCCGACCTAAAATTATTGAGTCATAAAGTAGTAAATGTCACACTGTGTCACACTCCCCATGTGACATTCTGCAGAGCCAGGGTTGGGCAGCACTGGGCTGGAAGCACAGAATGAGTGTGGGAGAAACGGACAGATATTAACCTGGGTAGGTGGGTTAGCATATTCCGTACTAAGGAACTGGAATTTAACTTCACATGCAGTGAGGAGGGTTTTCAGAGGGTAATGAAATAACTGGATCTATGAGAGAGGTGTGGAGAAACAGATGGGCAGAATGTAGACTCTGAGTTGGGAAGCCAGGGGAAGATGCTACAATGAGCCCAGGAACAGATGGCAAGGACTTGAACTATGGTGGCTGCGGTGCAAACACAGGCAGGGAATAGGAAAGGACTCACAGGACATGTGACAGAACTTGGTAAGAGGAATGTGTAGATGATTAAAGGCAGAAAAGCTATAGAACACTCCCACATTTCCAGGCTGAGCAGCCACATGCAGTTTGATGCCGTTAACCAGACAACACAAGCATAAGGAGAGAATGGGGCAGGAGAGGGAGCAGACTGCTTCCAGCTGTGATGAGACAGATGTTCCTTGTGCAAACCACTGAGGTGGAGCAGGAATAGCAAGAAATTAAGATCCAGAACTCAGAAGAAAGGCTGAGGCTAGAGTTTTAGGTCTGGGAGTCAACAGAGTATTTGGTAATAACTGAGGCTACTGAAATGGATGAAACTGAACAGAGCACTGTCCATGCAGTCAAAAATGCTTAGCACTGAGTCAAAAACAAATCAGGGCTTCTCTTTTCATTTACTTAACCACCTAATCTTAATAAAGCTCAGCAGACCACCATTAACAACATGCAGAAGTCAATGTGAAGAGTAGATGATGATATAAAAAAATTATTTGCAATGTGTAGGCTAATTTTAAATATGACTGTTGAATCTCTGGACTATCTCTGAATTGAATACAACAATTCTTGGAATTGGAAAGACTAATTTCAAAGCTTGGAAAGCTTAGAAAGCCTAATTTCAATATTAAATAGCAGATTAATCAAGTTAGCTACTCATATGACATCAGTGCTCCCCTAAAAAAAAAAACCACCAGATATTTGGTGATCTACTTCCTACAACGTAAAGGCAACATTACACCATTGTGCCAACTCATAAAAATACAGCATGTTCTTAATAAATGAAACAACTAATGCCAGAGACTGTCCCTTAGTCTAAGTGTGCATGTGTGTATGTGTTTTTGTGCCAGGAAGTTTATATAATTTACTTAACTTTAATAATACAAATTCATTTCTGGGTATGAAATTACATCAACAGAAAACAAACTAAAACTTAAGGAAAAATTCACAGGCCCTGCTATTTTGAAGACAGTGAATGAACTTGTCTAGAATGAGTCCCTGAAATCCTTGTTTTTAAGAGGTACTCAGATAATTATGACATGGGGGTTTCAAGAACTATAATACTTTGAGATATATTAGCTTATTTTAACTAAGTATCTTAAAAACATGTTGAAAAATGTTCAAAGATTACAAAAACACATTCTAAGTAATAGTGCTATATATGCTTTAAGTAGAAAACATATTTTCTTTATTCAAATTATGTTGACTTTCTATATATTTTGAAATGACACACACATAAAGATATAGCAAAGCTATATTTTTAATTTCATCATAGTCCCCTCTAAATTCTTTATCATTTACCAAAAATAACTTTTTTTAAAGCTTACTGTTTTGTCTAATGTTATACAGACTATCAATCTACACATTTTTGTGTGTCTCTCTTAAAAATTAACTTACAAGGATATTATATAAAACTAATTGGTATATTACACACCAAACATGAGTACAGATTCTGTACAATGTAATAGTATATGTATATATATTACACGAGACTAAATGCCTTGTTAAAAGTAATAGTTTAAGAAATCTTTCATGGAAAAAATCTACATCACAAAATGTGGTGGCTTGAGTATCAGCTGGTTCCCTCTCACGAGTTTCTTTCCATGGGCATTAACTGTCCATTTAGCTTCATTAGTAGTTTTACCACAAGGCCAGCCTAAAAAGTAAAATATATGTCACCAATAAATGTGAAGCATATAAGAATGTGTAAACGACATACATGCAGTAGACAGACTGTTCTGTATTTGAGAAGGAATTTTTCATTGTTGTAAGACTGCAATAAATTATTCAGCTAAGTTTCTTGCTTTGTTAAGGAAAGACCTGCCTTTTTACTTTGGTCTTAAATAATATTAATTTCACGTTAAGAGGTTTTACTTGGAAGTAAAATGGACTTTCATTTTTTAAGAAAGAAATAATTTTACTAATACAGTAGAGTTTATTACTATCATATAAATCAAGAACTGATTAGGTACTTTTACCTGTTTTGTATGTACTATAAAGCTCATTTTATTTTCCATACTATGGATCTGAAAACATGAATCAGCATCTCCCAACTGCCACATGAAGCAACCATACTTAAGACTGATGAGTAAAGCCTGCAACATAATTGCAAATCATTAATACTGAAGTATTTATTAAAAACAACACCTATCTTCTCTTACTATCTACACTTATCTAGCCAGGTCTAAACAGAATGGTTTTGAAAGTCAGAATAAAACTTGTTCAAAGTGCACTTGGTAACTTGACATAGCCTGCAGCAAAGAGCCACAGCAGACTTCTTCAGCAATGACACTCTTTTTATCAGAATGATAAAATTTGTTGAAGATGCCCATTCTGTACTAAGTATGTTTATTTATGTACACACACACACACACATTCAGCCATGAGAAATAAGGAAATCCTCTGATTTGCAACAACATGGATGGAACGTGAGGGCCTTAAGCTAAAGACAGAGAAATACCACAGGATGATACCACTTACATGTGGAATCTAAAAAAGCCAAACTCATTGAAACAAAGAGTAGAATGGTGGTTTTATCAGTGACTGGCAGGTGGGGGGAATTGAGATGTTGGTCAAAGTAGTACAAACTTTCAGTTATAAGATGAATTAAGTTCTGGGAATCTAATGTGGGGCATGGTGCTTATAATTAACAATACTGTACTATATGTTTGAAAGTTGCTAAGAGAGTAGATCTTAAATGTTTTCACCAGAAAACATTAATTATGTGATGTGATAGAGATGTTGGCTAATGCTATAGTGGTAGCCATTTTGAAATAGGTAAGTATAATAAATCAACACACTGTACATTTTAAACTTACCCAATGATGGGAAAACAAAGATGCCCATTCTATCAGTGGTTTTCAAGAAAATTAAGTGTACTAAAAGTTTTTACTTTCTGCAGGTTAAAAACAATTCCTTTTATTATATTCAGTACCTTTTGAATATTCATACAGTACTTTCAGATCTGAAATTTATTTAATGTGGTAAAATTGGTGACTTAGGCAATTTCATATCACTGAAAATAAGTACACAGCTATATTTATAGTAAGTGAAAGAAAGTGAGAGTCACAGCTGTGTCTGACTCTGAGACCCCATGGACTATACAGTCCATGGAATCCTCCAGGCCAGAATACTGGAGTGGGTAGCCTTTCCCTTCTCCAGGGGATCTTCCCAACCCAGGGATCAAACCCAGGTCTCCTGTATTGTAGGCAGATTCTTTACCACCTGAGCCATGGGGGAAGCCCATATTTATAGTAAATATAAGCATTATTTTAAAAATTAATAATATATCCTTCATATATTCAACAGAACTATTTAAAAAACAATTACAGTACCTTGTACCTACATGTTTTAAATAATGATATATTTAAATAGGAATCCAATATATTATTTTGATTACTTAAGAAATAATTATCTCCAGGTAATAACTTATATTTTCTTACCCTAAAAATATTCTTTTCATACATATATACAAAGAAATGTTCATGCCATCCTTTAAAATAAGTATATTTAGAAACATTACCTCTCTAGGACTAGCAGTTCTTAACATAATGATTGTAAAAAAAAAACAAAGGGTATGCCAGAAAGATTATGATTTAGGGCATTTTGAAAGGGAGGTTCTGTAAGTGAAACATAATGTAATTAATTTACATGAGTGTAAACCATGTATAATGGGAAAATAATAACATTTTGCTTACAAATAGCTATACTTATAAAATATAACATATGGGTAGGATCTCCTAAGATAGTTATTTACACAAAGCACACACTGAAACAGAGTTTTAGATACAAATGAGGATATTTTTCCAGATGAAGGTGTTTACTCTAAGCAAGTCTGTCATATTGACCATATAGACACCCTAGGGCTTGGTCAACCTAAGACAACTGACGACAAGCTGACTGTTCTCATCTTTGATGGTCTGAAAATCTTAGAGCCTTTATAGTGCCATAAATTTACCGGTAGCTTACAAGGCACACAGGTAATGATTATGTGGAGAGAAAACATTGTTACCCTTGGTTTCAGTCACCTCTGTATATACCCAATGACAGCATTTCTATTTCTAGAAAAAAAAGATTCTTAATAATACTACTATCATCCTCTGCCTGTTAACTGCTATCTCACTCAATTCCTGGAACAGAATATTATTCATAGTATGAAATGTTCTATTACTGAGCCATCATTTGAATACTATATAAAGCTTTTCACTGTTGCCTAAATTTGGAATGCTACCAAAAGTCAAACATAATACACAGTTTAGAGAAAAGGCTCAGTGTTATGCCCATGGCATCACCAGCCAGTTCAATAAAGAAGAATTTGCAGATATTGATATAAAATGCTCTAAAATAGCAGAGGAAAAATTTCTCGAAATGACAAGGGGAATTTCTCTTTCATTTCCTTTAACAAAAAGTACAATAGGAATAAAAAAAGCAGTTATAAGCTAATAAGAAACAGCTTATTTTGTATGAATAAAATAGTCTAAATAGAAAATGATAAGCAAATGACTCAAAAACAAGCCAATATCAAAGACTTCATAAAGTCAAGTTCCAAGTGAATTACTGAAGCCAGTCCCTCTTCTGCATATGTCCCTGCATAGTCTTTATCTCCATTCACAGGCGTATTTAACAGTATGGTAAAACAACTGCTGCCAATAACAATGATTCTGAGTAATCACGAAATAACTACCATTTCAGAAGTTATGTGCTTACATAAATAAGACTTAAATGATGAAAATAAAAATTAGGTTTACAGTGAAACTTCCTAATCTAAAATGCCTTTTTATATAAGCTTCAGTTCAGTTCAGTTCAGTCTCTCAGTCATGTCCGACTCTTGGCGACCCCATGAACCGCAGCACGCCAGGCCTCCCTGTCCATCACCAACTGCTGGAGTCCACCCAAACCCATGTCCATCAAGTCGGTGATGCCATCCAACCATCTCATCCTCTGTCGTCCCCTTCTCCTCCTGCCCTCAATCTTTCCCAGAATCGGGGTCTTTTCCAATGAGTCAGCTCTTCGCATGAGGAGGCCAAAGTATTGGGGTTTCAGCTTCAGCATCAGTCTTTCCAATGAACACCCAGGACTGATCTTTAGGATGGACTGGTTGGATCTCCTTGCAGTCCAAGGGACTCTCAAGAGTCTTCTCCAACACCACAGTTCAAAAGCATCAATTCTTCAGTGCTCGGCTTTCTTTATAGTCCAACTCTCACATCCATACATGACCACTGGAAAAACCACAGCCTTGACTAGATAAGACCTTTGTTGGCAAAGTAATGTCTCTGCTTTTTAATATGCTGTCTAGGTTAGTCATAACTTTCCTTCCAAGGAGTAAGCATCTTTTAATTTCATGGCTGCAATCACCACCTGCAGTGATTTTGGAGCCCAGAAAAATAAAATCAGCCACTGTTTCCATTGTTTCCCCATCTATTTGCCATGAAGTGATAGGATCAGATGCCATGATCTTAGTTTTCTGAATGTTGAGCCAACTTTTCACTCTCCTCTTTCACTTTCATCAGAGGCTCTTTAGTTCTTCTTCACTTTCTGCCATAGGGTGGTGTTATCTGCATATCTGAGGTTATTGATATTTCTCCCGGCAATCTTGATTCCAGCTTGTGCTTCCTCCAGCAGAGCATTTCTCATGATGTACTCTGCATATAAGTTAAATAAGCAGGGTGACAATATACAGCCTTGACGTACTCCTTTTCCTATTTGGAACCAGTCTGCTGTTCCATGTCCAGTTCTAACTTGCTTCCTGAGCTGCATACAGATTTCTCAGGAGGTAGGTCAGGTGGTCTGGTATTCCCATCTCTTTCAGAATTTTCCAGTCTATCCACACAGTCAAAGGCTTTGGCATAGTCAATAAAGCAGAAATATATTTTTTTCTGGACCTCTCTTGCTTTTTCGATGATCCAGTGGATGCTGGCAATTTGATCTCTGGTTCCTCTGCCTTTTCTAAAACCAGCTTGAACATCTGGAAGTTCACAGTTCATGTATTGCTGAAGCCTGGCTTGGAGAATTTTGAGCATTACTTTACTAGTGTGTGAGATGAGTGCAATTGTGTGGTAGTTTAAGCATTCTTTGGGATTGCCTTTCTTAGGGATTGGAAGGAAAACTGACCTTTTCCAGTCCTGTGGCCACTGCTTAGTTTTCCAAATTTGCTGGCATATTGAGTGCAGCACTTTCACAGCATCATCTTTCAGGATTTGAAAGAGCTCAACTGGAATTCCATCACATTCACTAGCTTTGTTTGTAGTGATTCTTCCTAAGGCCCACTTGACTTCACATTCCAGGCTCTGGGTGAGTGATCACACCATTGTGATTATCTGGGTCGTGAAGATCTTTTTCGTACAGTTCTTCTGTGTATTCTTGTCACCTCTTCTTAATATCTTCTGCTTCTGTTAGGTTCACACCATTTCTGTCCTTTATTGAGCCCATCTTTGCATGACAAGTTCCCTTGGTATCTCTAATTTTCTTGAAGAGCTCTCTAGTCTTTCCCATTCTATTGTTTTCCTCTATTTGTTTGCACTGATCACTGAGGAAGGCTTTATCTCTTCTTGCTATTCTTTGGAACTCTGCATTCAAATGGGTATATCTTTCCTTTTCCCCTTTGCTTTTCGCTTCCCTTCTTTTCACAGCTATTTGTAAGGCCTCCTCAGAGAGCCATTTTGCTTTTTTGCATTTCTTTTTCTTGGGGATGGTCTTGATTCCTGTCTTCTGTACAATGTCACGAACCTTTGTCCATAGTTCATCAGGCTTACATAAGCTTACATAAGGCTTACATAAGACTAGTTATTACTTAAATTGAGTCCGAGAATAGTCTATTCTTCATCAATCTGAATAAACAAAACAGACTTTCATTTGCTTCCTATTACTAACTAGAAAGCTGTTTATCCTGTGAAATGTATTAAATATGCTAAAAATAAGTGATAACTCCATATTTATATTATCATGACTTTGGTTAGAAAAAGGAGCACAACATCCCAATGAGCCTCTGACTGAAAAGCTCTGAAGCAGGGGCAGCCAGATCAAGATGGTGGAATAGAAAAGCTCTGAAGTGTTCTAACAGGTATTCACAGTCCTATCCACACTTCATCCTGTCCCCAAAAATGTTCTTGTAACTAATTCAAATTTTCAAAATGAACCACTTGTTTCAGATATTTTACTTCCTTTTAAAATTTGAATCTTTTTCATTTATATCTAATTAATTTTTAAATAGATAATACAATCACAGTTAAATTTTTTTTTAAGTTGCAAAATGCTATACAGTGAAATGTCTCCCTTCTCCTATGCCCAGTTACATAGTTTCCCTTCTCTAAAGGCCTAAGAAACTTTTTCTGCATACAAAAGCACCACAACACATATTTATGTAAATATAGTTTTCACTTTCCCACATTTTTTGAGGTATAATGGACACAGGACATTATATTAGTTTCAGGTATACAGCATGATTCAGTATTTGTATATACTGCAAGTGCTGTTAACGTTCATCACCATACACTGTTAACACATTTTTTTTTGTTGTGATGAGGAATTTTAAGATCTATTCTCTCAGCAACTTTCAAATATGCAATACAGCATTATTGACTATGCTCTACACTACATCCCGTGACTTAGTTTACGGCTCAAAGTCTCTTTTGACCCCCTTACCCATTTCGCCCATCTCCCAGCTCCCTGCCTTTGGCAACCACCAGCCTGTTCTCATTTCCATGAGCTTGTTTGTTTTTTTAAGATCCCACCACACACAAGTGAGATCATATGGCATTATCTTTGTCTGACTTACTTCACTTAGCGCAATGCCCTCAAAGTCCATCCATATTGTTGCAAATGGCAAGACTTCATTCTTTCTAATGGCCAAATAATAATATTCCATTGTGTGTGTGTATAACCTTTATATTCATGCCTACATACACAGGGATGACTCCATGACTACCGGGGCTTGCCTTTGTAAATATCTATCCTGTGCAAAAAGCCACTCCATATGTAGGAATTCCCCCACAATTCTGTAAGAACATATAACACACACACACACACACACATTTTCTCCAGCCATCTCTCCACTGACGACACTTAAGTTGTTTATGTTGGCCACTGTAAGTAATGTTTCAATGAAAAGGGATGTGCGTGTATCTTTCTGTGTTAGTGTTTTTGTTTTCTTCCATTAACTACCCGTTTCCACCCATTTTTACATGAATGATAGCATATTACATATGGTTCAGCACCAAATATATCTAGAGATCATTCTACACAAAAATATTCTTCATTCTTTTGTATGGCTGCAAGGTATTTCAATGTAGAAATGTACTACAATTAATATTAACTCCCTATTGGTAATCATTTTGTTTTCAACCCTCATCCTCTGCTATTATAAATGAAATTGTTCATGTAGCCTAGTACTGTTATTTTAGATATTATATATATAGTGTGACTGGTCAAAATCAGTTGAAAAGATAAAAATCTACCTTAGTTTCCATGTTGAGGAGATGAAGTCCTTTTATATTCACACCTACATACACAGGAATGACTTTATGATTACTGGGGCTTGCCTTTGTAAATATCTGTCCTGTGAAAAAAGCTGCACCATATGTAGGAATTTCCCAACAATTCTGTAAGAACATACGCTGTAGGTGATGCATTTCTTTACTGACACCTTCACTTGTACTAAGATTCTAAAAACAAAGTAAAATAAGGAGATGAAAGGAGAATGTGCCTTTAACAGTCCAGACAGGTCAACTAAACAGTTTCTAAAATCAAGGCTAACCCAAAGAATAACATGTGTGACATTATCCGAAGGGCACATTTCTTCTGAGTTCTTCTATTAAAAGAGAAAAATCAAGGTCTAAAAACAATGCTTATTACATTTTAAGTGCAGGGATAAAGATAGTGTATTATTTCTTATTTTTAAAAATCTCTAGCACTTGCCACAGTACCAGCATTCAGAAGGTATTCAGTAAAAAATTATTAAAAATAAAGTATCCTGCTACTTTTTTTTTCAGATATGTGAATTATAACTTTTTTATTTCAGGAATATAAATTTAATGTACCCATGTTTAAAACATTAAGAATACTAACAAAATTTCAACTAGGTTACGTCTTTTTATTTCTATTTAACAGCTTACCTTGTATTCATGAAGTATTCGGTTTGTCCAGTGAGGTGCCTTACTTTTCAATTTCGTAATAGGTACAATAGATTTGAGATTTTCTTCACTGTAAGCAAATATCCCAACATTTTAAAAATAAATTATCTTTAGTAGCTAAAGTAATATAATCATCTAGATACAAATGGCTTTAAATGATTTTTGAGCTGAAAAATACTATACTTAAAATATCAGAGAACTCAACATTTTAAGTAAGAAGTCGTGATCTCAACATTGCTCAGTCTAGAAAAATGTTTCTTCTTTCAGTAAGCACAAAATATTTTTGAATGCCGAAAACTACAATAAACAAACTTTAGATGTGCTAAAACTTCAGTGTTTTCTCACAACATGAAACATGAACTAGTTTTTGGGAGGGATTCTGAAATGTGTCTGCCTTATAACTTTTTTTGTTGTTGTTACTACTTATCTAAGTAAGGTTTTAGTGAACTTATTTAAACATACAGTAAAGAAAGACAAGTATAAGGCATCTCACACTATATTCAAATATAAGAAAAATAACCTTGGAGAGAATATAACTTAAAAGAATGCATTACTATACGTTTTCTTCTCATTCCATGCCTTATACTATTTAATTCCAAACCAGTGTCTATAGTTCTTAATAACATATTTCTAAACTTTCTTAGTAAACTGAATCTTGGGCAAAGCACAAGACCATGAATTATATTAAATACTTACTTTAGGAAACCTTGCTTGTGTTTCTTACTCTCATAATTTCCATAAACTATCTGCAACAGTAGACTTGCCAACGTTATCAGTTTAGCATCAGGAGCTGTATAAAAGCCCTTCAATAAATTGTATCTGGCTTCATCAAAGAGAATAAGAATAGCTAGTGGGTCTTCAATCTTAAAGGAGAAAATATAGTATGGTTATTAGGCCACAATTTCCTGTTATAAATGTACAAACTTGTCACTAACATGAAAAAGCAAAATCTATGTAACTGCATATAAATACGCTATTTTTGCTTTGGAGCAGAGGCGGACAATTCTTTTCTATTAAAGACCAGACAGTATGATTTTAAGCTTTGTGAGTCATAAAGTCTCTAACACAGTGACTCAGCTCTTCTAGTTTAGCACAAAAGCAGCTGTAGACAATACATCTACAAATGTCAGAGTTCTACTAAAACTTTTGATACTGATTCTGAAATGTGAGTTTCATGACATGTTCACATGACATGAAATATTAACTTCTGAATTTTTCAACCATTAATAGCTTACAGAATATACAAAAATAGGCAACAGTTCAGATATGGCAGTAGGCCAGTTTGCTAACCTCTGATTCAAGTCCAGTAAAATTATCATCAGTTTATGGGAGTGTGAGTAATTTCTAGTACAATTTTACTTAAATTCTTTATATTCCTCAAACATCCTTTTATAATTTATGCTTCACACAACATAGTAGTGAACCACAAAGAAATGAAAGGAAGTACTGTCAGTTTCCAGAAGGAAACATGAAGTCTGAAAAGAGCTTAACAGTTTTTATTTGATAAATAACATGAAAGGAGAGCATACTTTTTTTAAGTTTTAAAAACTAAAGTTTCCCTCTATCTGATAAGATTAAAAAAGACTGAAAAATGCTACCCTACAGAATACATATCTACCTGGAATAATATGATCACCAATTACGAGATTCTAAATAAATACTTGAGCATTTCCATATATGATTCAAAATGACCCAAATTCCTTACAGTAAAAGGTTTTGTTGTCTTGCTAACTAAAATAGCACTCCACACAATATTTTAAAAATTGAAACAATTTCATGGAGGAAAAAAGATAAGGGGATTGCTCTTGACTAACAGAAGCAAAGAGGTAACAAATACAAAGCGTGAAGGCTGACTAGCGTCTTCAGTTGAGTGTTTTAAGAGACTGAGAAACTGGGGGAAATCTGAATATGGGTCTAGGATTAGATATTATTGTGGAAATATTAATTTTATTAGGTTGATAGTGGTACTGTAGTATGTATAGTACATCCTTGTTCTTTGAATATGATGTTAAAATATTTAAGGATGAAATGCCATGATGCCTGAAACTCAATTTTAAATGGTTTACAAAGAAAAGAGAGGAAAGGTGAAGCAAATATAGTAAAATGGTAACAATTAGTAAATTTAATGAATGGTATATGGTATGAATTTTATTACTTTTTCAGCGTTCCTATGGGCTTTTAATTTCTGAAACTAAAAAGTGAAAGAAAAAGTTGGGAAAAAGTGAAAGAAAACATTTTTCTAGTAAAAACTGACTTAGTGAATTTGAAGAATTTGAGTAGAGAATAGTTATAATACCTAATAGTGTATTCAGGGAGTATTAGTCAACAACTGTTCTTTTTAAATGAAAGTAGGCTCTTCTTATCCTAAAATAATCCTAATCAAAAAAAATGCAATTCTTCTATTTTTCAGATGGTAAAAACACGAATTTCTCAATTACACAAGGAGTGAAAGAACATAACCACTTTATCAGATGATGATACTCTGATTCACTCTGATTCACTGTAAGTACTCCTAAAGCTTGCTTCTTTTTCACTTGAACCTACTTTACCTAAGTTGTAGTATAAGATGAAATTAATTTAATATCCAAGTACTATCATTATTATTACTCTTTCTCTACCAGCCAACTTTGAAGATATTATTTAAGTGGAGAAGGAAGACAGGCTGAGTATGCTTAGATTACTTGCCGATTTCATAGATCTATCACATTTTGTTTAACAAAAGTTGCCACTTTACCTATGTTTTAAGTGTAGAATTTAGTGGCATTAATTACATTCATAATGCTGTGGACCATCACCACTATTTTCACATTTCAACATCCAAACAGAAACTGTGTAATCAGTAAGTCTTCATTCTCTTTGCATCACACCTGTGGTAATCTCTAACATGCTTTCTGTTTATGAATTTGCCTATTCTAGATATTTATTTGGAGAAGGCAATGGCGACCCACTCCAGTACTGTTGCCTGAAAAATCCCATGGATGGAGAAGCCGGATAGGCTGCAGTCCATGGGGTCGCGAAGAGTTGGACACAACTGAGCGACTTCACTTTCATGCATTGGAGAAGGAAATGGCAACCCACTCCAGTGTTCTTGCCTGGAGAATCACAAGGATGGCAGAGCCTGGTAAGCTGCCATCTGTGGGGTCGCAAAAAGTTGGACACGACTGAAGCGACTTAGCAGCAGCAGCAGATATTTATTTAATGTAAGTAAAATCAAACACTTTTTCCTTCTGTGTCTGGCTTATTTCACCTAACATAATTTCAAGGTCCATCCATGTTATGACATGTAATAGAACTTCATTCCTTTTTATGGATGAGTAAGAATCCATTGTATGTATACACTACACTTTCTTTATCCATTGATCTGTTGATGAACACTTAGCTTGTGTCCACCTTTTTGGTTATTATAAATATTCCTGATAAGAATGTTGGAATACAAATATTTGAGCTCTTGTTTTCTTTAGGTATGCACCTAGGAGTGGAATTGCTAGATCAAATAGTAATTCTATGTTTAGTGTTTGTAAGAACTATTCAACTATTTTCCACAGAGGCCACACCATTTTATACTACTATCTACAGCATACAAAGGTTCTATTTTCTCTATTTCCTCAACCCTCAATATCTTCCTTTATAAATTTTTGTTATTACAGCCATCCTGGTAGGTGTGGATTCTTATTGTGTTTTGATTTGCATTTCCTTAACGCCTTATGATCTTGAACATCTCATGTGCTTGTTAACCACCTGTGTATCTTTACTGGAGAAATGTTAAGTCCTTTACCCAATTTAATTGAGTTGTCTTTTTGTTGCTGAGTTGCAGGAGTTCCTTTTATATTCTTAATAGTAAACACTAAACATTCAGAAAACTAAGATCATGGCATCCAGTCCCATCATTTCATGGCAAATAGTTGGCGAAACAATGGAAATAGTGAGAGACTTTTTATTTTTTTGGGCTCCAAAATCACTGCAGATGGTGACTGCAGCCATGAAATTAAGACACTTGTTCTTGGAAGAAAAGCTATGACCAACCTAGACAGCATATTAAAAAGGAGATATTACTTTACCAACAAAGGTCCATCTAGCCAAAGCTATGGTTTCTCCAGTAGTCATGTATGGAAGTGAGAGTTGGGACTACAAAGAAAGCTGAGTGCCAAAGAATGGATGCTTCTGAACTGTGGTGTTGGAGAAGACTCTTGAGAATCCTTTGGACTGCAAGGAGATCCAACCAGTCCATCCTAAAGGAAATCAGTCCTGAATATTCATTGGAAGGACTGATGCTGAAGCTGAAACTCCAATACTTTGGCCACCCTGATGCTGGGAAAGACTGAAGGCAGGAGAAGGGGATGACAGAGGATGAGATGGTTGGATGGCATCACTGACACTATGGACATGAGTTTGAGTGAACTCGTGAGAGTTGGTCATGGACAGGGAAGCCTGGCTGCAGTCCATGGGGTTGCAGAGTTGGACATGACTGAGTGACTGAACTGAACTGAACTGAAACACTTATCATATATATGATTTGCAAGTATCTTCTTTTATTATACAGCTTGTCTTTTCTCTTTAATGATAATGTCCTTTGATTTACAAATGCTTTTAATTTTGATGAAGTCCAATTTATCAATTTTTTCTTTTGTTACTCATGTTTTTGGTGTCATATCTAAAGCTCCAAGACCAAATCTAAAGTCATAAAGAGTACACATATATTTTGTCCTAAGAATTTTATGATTTTGGCTTTTGTATTTAGGTTATTGAGACATTGAGTTAATTTTTGATGTGGTGTGAGATCAGAGTCCAATTTGATACTTTTGCATGTGAAATTTCCAGTTGCCCCAGCATCATGTGTTGAAGAAACTACTCTTTCTTCATTGAATTCACTTGGCATCCTTTAGCAGCTTTAGTAGCTTTTGTGTGGATTCTTTGGAATTCCCTATGTGTAGGATCATGTCGTTTTTGACCAACAGAGACAGGCTACCTTTTTCCTCTCCAGTCTGGATGCCCTTCCCCCCTTGCTTTACTTTAGGGGTGCTGCTGGGGAGAGTGTGACCAACTGCTTTGCTTGGAACTTCTTGTTCTGTGTTAAACAGCAGTGGTGAAAGCAGGCATCCTTGTCTTGTTTCTGATTTTAATCTTAGGAGGAAAGTTTTCAGTCTTTCACCATTGAGTATGTTAGCTGTGGGTTTTTTTATAAATGCCATCTATTGGATTGAGGAAGCTCCCCTCCTAGTTTTCTGGGAGTTCTAGCAAGAAAGGCCATTGGATTTTGTCAAATGTCTTTTCTACCTTAGGTTGGGTAATATAAGATGGACAATATGAATAGTCAGACATAAAACATTTACCAAGTTTGGACGAGGTCACTGAAATTTTCATGTGTTGAAATGTGCTTAACCTTATGTGTTTAGTATTTCCTTGAATAAAAGAATGAGGAAATGCATTGTATACTTTTTCTTCACCAAATTTATGAGACCTTAGAACTTTTCTTTTCCCCAGTTTTCAAAGCTATTGCTGTATTTAGACTATTACCTAGTTTAACTTGTAATATATCCCTTAGGTTTTTTCCTTGTCTGGTCATCCTTCAGATGGCAGTATTTCACTTCTAACATTTACAGTAATTCAAATCCAGACATACTTAATCATGTAAATTCCATTCTCATTTTTTTATATACATATATATGTATAGTTCATATATGTTTATATATTTATATAGTTTATATATATACATATATATATGTATAGTTTATATATGTATATATGTATAGAAGTATACCTGTATAGTTCTCTGTTGAATCTAAAAGAATAGCTACATACCGACTACTGGGAATAACTTTAATGTCCCCTTTGTAAATATAATGTTCTCTATCCAGAATGTTTTTTTTTAGTTCTCTCTATTCTCTTTAGGACGGAGTCTCTATTTCTTTTGTATTCTAAGACAGTGGAGGTGGAAATGGAAAAACCAATAGGGGCTTTGTAAGTGGACTGACTCAAACTCTCTATCACTTACAATAAGAACTGAGGATTGAACAGGAAAACAGCAATGAACCCTCCTGTAAAGGAAGAGCACAGTGTTTGCCTCTAGTGCTTAAAACAGGAACCCAGCAGACTGAACATCTAAATGACTATAGAAAAGATTTCTGGGCAAACCTTTTTCTCAACTTCCAAAGGAAGTCTCACATCTCTTCTTAGGAAAAGCTGTGGTGTTTCCCTTTGGGGATCCAAATTAGTCAATTCAGCAAGTATTTCTGGCCAGTCACGAACATGTTGCAATGGTTTATGATAAGGCTTGAGTTGAAGGCCTGAAAAACATCTTTCCCTTAATAAATGATAATGTAAAAATGAACTGATTACACCAACACATAGAAACTTTTCATTAAATTCTGTACCTAAGTATTGAACACACACAAATTAAAGGTCTAAATTTAAATCAATATTGATTGTAATCAATATTATGCCCAATTTGAGGTTGACTGTTTTTTAAGAATGTAAGAATTATGAGAATAATTCTGGAAATGAATTAAAATTTATCAAATGAATTTAAGATCCTTAATTCCACGATAGCCTAATTATGATAAAATCAGTAAAAATTTGGTGTTTAAAAAAATAGTTAAATCACTAGAAAACAAATCACACCCACCTTGATGAAATCCCTTATGTATCTGCAATACTTTGTCTGAGAGACCAAATCTGTAGTGACATTAAGCTGAGTTTAAATAAAAAGAGTCGGACATGATTGAGCGACTGAACTGAACTGAACTGAACTAAAAAGATCTGATAGAAAACCAATATAAAGAAAAAGAATATCTGTATTATTTTGAGAGGAGGTGAGCACTGAAAATAAAGGCAAGTTGGATGCATTTGAATAGCATTCAAATAAAATTTAGACTGCATTTAAACAGCATTCAAATCAAATTTCATTGCCAAAGAAAAAATGTTTTGGTTTTTACCACTTCCAACATCGTATGGCACTTCCCTGGTGACTCAGTAGTAACGAGTCCACTTGCCAGTGCAGGAGACACAGGTTTGGTGGCCGAACTGGGCTCACCCCAGATGCTGTGGAGAAGCTAGGCCCGTGTGCCGGCCTGTGCCCCAGAGCCCACACGGCACCAGTGAGCCCACACGCCCTGGGACCTGTGCTCCGCAACAACGGCAGCCGCTGTTCCAGCGCTGTGCTGCCGTGAGGCCCTCACACCACAGCTAGAGGGCAGGCCCTGCTTGTCACAGATAGAAAACAGTCCTCGCAGCAACGAGGAACAGCACAGCCAAGAATACATACGTAAATGAAATTAGTCAAAAACCCCCGACATTGTATGAATAAAAAGGGGCCAGGCGCAAGCAGAGGCTTACCTGTCTCAGCAGTCTGAACATAATTTATGTAAAAGAAAAGAATATTATATCATTTGAAAATTTAAAAGTCAATAATAATTGATGCTGTACTTCAGTTTACCAACTCACTCTCAAAAAGGAATAATGGGGTTTATACATCAGAATAACAAGTTTCTTACTGAGGTTTTCTGAACAGATCCAAATAGTGAAATATTGCTGTGTTTCTTGAGAGAGACGCATTCCTTCCATTATCTGCTGCACTGTGGTATTATTTCCATGCTTCAGTTCAACAGAACGGTATGATCCATCCATCCTGTATATCCGAACTTTTTCATACTAGGACAAAGAACGATAATAAATTATGCAAACTGGGTAGAAATTATACATCCCAACCCCCAAAAATGCTTTAATTTCAACCTCATCTGCTTTATTATAGATTTCTAATATGGAAAATATCAGAAAAACTACTTTAAGTGAGAATCTTCTGGCAATATTTTATTTTTTCCCTTTTTGCCTTGCTGCACAGCTTGCAATCTTTGTGGCCCAATAAGGGATGAAACCTGTGCCCCCTGCACTGGAAGCTTACAGTCCTAACCACTTCTGGCAATATTTTTTAAAAATTTACTTCCATTATTTATATTTTTAAACATGTTTTCCTCTGAATATTCCATGGTCAAATAAGTTTGAGAAATGAAGGCAAATGGTTTTTAAAAAAATATTCAACTTCAGAATCTTCTGAGAGAATACTTTAAAGCTATTAACATACAATGTAAATACCAAATGGGGGATATAGACTTGGTTAAACTAAATCTGGTGTTAGTTAACTACCTCATGAGTTTAGTGGGCCACAAATTACAATGTAGAGATGTGTACCAGCAATAATTTGTCCCAAGAGGAATCTGTGATAAAGGATTTTGCAGATAAAAGTTATGAACAATGGACCTTGAGCCAGTTTCTTCCTTCCAGTTCAGAAAATCACAGAGAGAAATGATATTATCAATTCATTTTTATTGTTATAGGAAGTAACTGATGCCTCTAAACAACTTCCAGGACAGTTCATTTTAGGTAAAAGTACCTAATTCCTTTTATCTTATACATCCAGATTTAAAGATTATATGAGAAATAAAAGTGTGTTTTAAACTATACAATTAGAAAGTAAATTGCAATGAAGTTAATATAAGGGTGACTGTACTGCTTATCTATTTCCTTGCTTTTGTCCTGTGCTCAGGGAATAATGTTTTGACAAAATGTGTATGAATGTGTGAAATTTCCCTTTAAGACAGAGATCATGTATTTATTATTTATCACATCACTTTCAGCATTTCATGGTGGTAAATTTACAGAAATACTCAACAAGTACATATTATCTAGTTATTGGAAATGTCTGGAAAGGTTCGGATATATGGGTTATAGCCTGTTGGTATAAAACTTTTATCCTTTATTAGTTGGTATAAATTCTTTTATCTGGTTTGCAAGTTTTCAGTTTACTGTCACTTTAGAAAACAGTTTACTGTCACTATAACTTTGAGGCATGACAGAGTTTTTTCTAATTGTTAATTCTTCTCTATCTTAACGCCACTGCTAATTATTTTGTATGTAAGTAGATGGAAAGGCCAAGCTGCATGGGCAAAATAAAAGGCTAGGAACTCTTTTATTTTAACCCAGTCACCAATCTTAAGGAGGAAAATGAATCTGAACTAGGTAAGTAATTAAATCACTGAATGATGTGTAACATGATCACCTACAAGTATAACGTATTGCTTAGACGGCCTAGGGGCTTCCCGGGCGGCTCAGACGGTAAAGACAGCAGTGAAGGAGAACTGGGTTCAATCACTGGGTGGGAAGATGCCCTGAAGAACGGATGGCTACGCACTCCAGTATTCTTGTCTGGGGAGTTCCATGGACAGAGGAGAGCCTGACACGCTACCGTCCATGGGGTTGCAAAGAGTCGGACATGACTAAACGATGAACACTTTCACTTCACTTAGAAGGCCTAAGTAGAGAGAGATGCTTCAATGGACAGGTTACAATTTGTAATCAGCATATAAAGTATAGAGATTACATTGGGAATTAGATTAATTTTAAGTGATTGAAAGATTTATTTATGCAAACTTTTATTTTGATATGCAAGAATAAATGCTCAAATGTTAGAGATGACAGCAAATTTAATATCTATGATGTCTAAACATGAGGTTTTATAAAAGCAGTAGAGAAGCCATCTATACATTCATCCTTCCATTCTTACCTCAGATCCTCAAATTAATTATCAACTTAAATATGATGTTTGGCTCTAACTAATATTTATGAAGTTAATTCTTACTGGTTTGTTAATGGCTTCCTTCAACAATTTCGCAGCTTCTTCCCAATTATTTTGTTTGTTTTCTTCACAAATATTTAAAGGAGATCTTCCCTGTTGGTCTGTTATGTGCTAGGAATGTGAGGGAAGAATCATAGGTTAAAGAAAAAAGGCATTACAAAATACAAGTAAGGGAAAATATCAATCAAAATTTCATTAAAAAGACTATCGGCAAATGTTAAGTACATATTAAGCATACTTACTGCATGCTATACTTCAAGTAAACATGAACAGCCAAAGATAAAAGATTCAAAGCAGTAATCACTGTGGCTATTGTTTTTCAAAAATTCTGTTTACAGCAACAACAAAGGTCTTGTTAAAGCTATTATTTTTCTCTTTACAAATTTGTTAGTACAAATTCCAAAATATCTTTTACCTTAAGATATTTTTTAGAAAATACACTTTATATAAGGACTTCCCTAATAGTTCAGTTGGTAAAGAATCTCCCTGCAATACAGGAGACACTTTATATAAAATGGAAGGAAGCCAAATTTTATGTACACTTGGGCGATGCATGGTGGTAATGGTTGTAAAACAATGTAAATGTACTTAATGCCACTGATCTGTACATCTAAAAATTGTGAAAATGATAAATTTTATGTGAAGTGTATTCTATTACAATTTAAATGCAAAGTGTATACATATTATTCTACATAGCAAGTTAAATTTGTTTTCATTTCTCAGCTGACCTCTCAAGTGTACAACTAAACATTTTAAGTGTCATTACTAGTTATTTACTGTTTGGACGTTAAAAAAAAAAAAAAGCCTGGGAAATAACTTACTCTGTCAATTTCTGGATGGTTTAGGAGGATCTGTACTATTTCAGCATGTCCTCCTCCAGCAGCAAAATGAAGAGGAGAACTAAGTTGTCCATTTAAAAGGTTTGGATTGCACTTTCCTTTCTCTAACAATATGCGAGTGGCTTCAACTTTTCCATACCTACAAAAAAATAAAACACCTACAAAAGTCATATGAAGTGTTTGAAAAATCCAAATTTCAGACATCTCAAAGAAATTTAAGATTTTTCTATGGCAGAGAACAGGAATGAAGACATTTATGTAAATGCTTTCAGTGCTTACAGATTTCTTATGAAGTACTCTAATTTAATTCAAATGTTTCTATTTCTGATCAACTGGGAGAAAATATAATCTCAAATACAAGATAGAGCAGAGGATACAGAATTACAATCATACAAAATATAATACAAAAATTATAAATTAGGGAGATAAAATTTTTAGTCAAAAATATTTTCAGGAGCAGAAAGTAACTCATAAATTTAACAATGCTTTTCTTTAATTTACAATAGGCCCAAGACCTAATTTACATGTAGCTGTTGAAGGAGGCAATGTGAAAGACACAAAGATATGTTAAGATAAATGGTGTCTGCTCTGGCAAAGGCTTCTAATGTAATCAGAGGAAAACAAACATGTGAGATAAGTTACATCATGCTATAAAATTTAACAGTTAAGAGTAACAATCAGAATATATATATTTGTCAAATCAGTTCTATCAGAATACTTTTCAGGACTCTCTTAGAGTCCTGAAAAGTATTCTGATAGAAGAACAATTTGAAAGCTGAAGAGATGCTGAAGTAAAATATTCTAGGTAGTGGGAAAAAAAAAGTAAGCAAAGAGTACAAAGAATGTGCCAGACATAGTGAATTTACCATCTGGTTACAAAGACTTATATAAGGCTGCAATCTAATGCAATGGTGGAAAGGCAATTCATTTTTTTGGAAATAAATGAGTAAAAAGGGAAAGGAAATTTGCTCTTAGATATGCTGCATTTGAGGGGCAAATAGCACATCTTTAGAACTAAACCAATTTACTGTCAACTTTCTTCCCTTTCACATATGCTCTGGCTTTTCTATGCCCCAAACCTGCCACTTATATCCTGCCCTTCTCATTCATGTGACTGTTTGCTTATGTTCTTAGCTATTCTTGAGACGTCTTTTTTTCCTTCTCCTGATTTTATTTCAGGTTAAGTTCTGTTATTTCTCTGAAACAGATTACCAGCTACCTCCTATATATTTCCACTATAATTTACCATTTTACTTTTACTTTTTTAATCTCATTATTTACTTTCATCCTTGTATACATACATTTCTGTCAGCCTGGATATTCCTTGAAAGTTATATCTTTGCATTCTCCATACTGCCTCATGCATTAAGAAAATGGGTGACTAAACTGTTCAGCTGGTAACTGAAAACACAGACTTGATATTCAGGAGGAAGGCAAAGGCTTGAGGTATCAGAATTAGCCTGTTAAAGCTGGGGGAATGGATGAAATCTTTCTGAGAGAAAGATGAATACCTTAGAACAATGAAATGCATCTTGAAAAACATACTTTCAGGACAGGAAAAGATAGTGAGGGGGAGAATTCAAGAAGTAATAACAAAAATAATTAAAATAAAAAAACACTGTGTAAGATTAAAAAGTTTCAAAGGTACTTCCTTATATAATTACTTAATATAATCTTCACAACAACTTATGAGGCAGGCAGACATATTTCTAACAAACAGATGAAAAAAATGAAGCTTGTACCAGTTAAGTAACTTGCCCAAGGTCTCATGGTTAACCAGTTAAAATCCAATTTTCTGAATTTTAGTGTAACAGTTTCCATACTATTTAAAACATGCTTGGGTCACAGGATGAAAACTAGCATTTCAATAATAATGATAATAATAATTATCTTGCATTTGTATTTTCCCTGGTGGCTCAGAGGGTAAAGCGCCTGCCTGCAATGCAGGAAACCCAGGTTCGATTCCTGGCTCGGGAAGATCCCCTGCAGAAGGAAATAGCAACCCACTCCAGTACCCTTGCCTGGAAAATCCCATGGACAGAGAAGCCTGGTAGGCTACAGTCCACGGGGTCGCAAAGAGTCGGACACGACTGAGCGACTTCACTTTCTTTCTTTCTATAGCTGCCCTTTCAACTGCCATTTGTTCTGCAAACAAAGGGGTGGTCACCAGTATTAAATGCAGCAGAGCAGTGAAAGAGATTAAAAACTCAGCAAAGGTTAAGAAGGTTCATGAAGACTGAAAAAGAGAAAGCAGTGAGTATGGGCCTGTTATCACTGAAGTCTGGCTGTGGAAGGAAGGAAAGAAACAGGACAGTGGCCAGAAGAGGGAGCAGGTTCAAATTAAGGTTCTTTTTCAAGTAGGGATAGGATTCATGTATGTTTGAAGACAAGAGAAAAGAAAGTACAGAAAAGCAGAAAGTGCAGAGACTCTTTGTGACCCCATGGGCTGTAGCTCACCAGAGTCCTCGGTCTGGAGTAGGTTGCCATTCCCTTCTCCAGCAGATCTTCCCGACCCAGGGACTGAACCAGGTCTCCCGCAATGCAGGCAGATTCTTTACCCGTCTGAGCCACCAGGGAAGTTCCCAGGTTTAGAATAGGGGACCAAAAGCTTGACAGGATGAATGAGACAAAGACAATACACAGCTTGCTGCAGTGAAGGCCCAAATGAAATCGGATGGAGTAATTTGTAGGGAGTCAAATCGTCAGAGTTCTGAAACACTCTCTAGCAATGATGTGGAGCCTGGAAGTCCTATCAGAGAGAGAAGACACTGATTTGAGAGAGGTGAGAAAATATGAGATGTCAGTGAGACATTTACTGACTGGCTGAGAGGTTACCCATATGGGGAGAAAGTCAAATTAAATAGTTTTGGGAATGGTGATTCTGCTAAAGAAAAGTTTTTAGGCACCTGTCATCAGTATAATAATTTCTAAAGCTTGGAGCAATCCTAGGGGTGATTTAATTAAGTGATCCTCAAAGACTGATCCAGGAAACCAGAAAGATCACTGAAAGTTTTTCAACGTGTCCTCTAGGTAAAACATATTTCACAGTAATACTAAGATGTTATTCACCCCTTTCACTATGATTTTCTTATAAGTGTACAGTGGAGTTTTCTAGACGCTCCCTGACATGCAAATTCCAACAAATTAAAGGCAGGATCAGACGTGAGAATCCAACTATTTTCTCCAAGGTTGGACAGTAAAACAATGCAAGAATGTAAAATAATGCTACTTTTCTTATTAACTTTTTTATTTTGGAAAATAAGATATATTTGGAAAACTCTGCTATTTATATTAACATGCTATTTTAAAATAATCAAATTCTTAAGACATTTTTCAGTTTTAACTTCTAATAAAGTATATAACACTAGGTATTACTTCACATAAACCAAAGCTCTTTGGGATCTTGTAATTTTGAAGAATAAAAGGAGTTTTAACACAAAAGTTTGAGAACCACTCATCTAATAAAATCCCTCAGTTTAAAGATGAGAAGACAGAATAAGACGATAAAACATCTTGTCTAAGCGTATAAAGACAGACCCCATCCCAGTCTCTTGATGAGACAGCCCAGTATTCCCCTTCTAATCCTAGTATTAATTACTAAGTAGGAGTACATTTCTAAGATAAAGTAATTTATGTTCTTTACTAAATAGTTCAATCAGTCTTCATTCAAGTTCACACCAGTCAAATGATATATCTTATTAAAAGTATTGCAAGGTGACCCATATTACTACTACTATTGGTGTATTAAACTTGGTTATTATTTCCAGCTGATGGAAATTTGATTTTATTGAAGGATAAAACTCTTCTTCAGTGTATTGGAGTAATATCCAAATAAAAATACAACAGATGAATGAATTTTATATTCAGACATCAAAATCTTTAAATTTTTTTAATACTTTAATAACAGCCTTTTTTTTTTTGAGTGCTTATTACTGCCAGGTATCCTTCCAAACATTTATTCACATTTTTTCCTCTAATCTTAAAAAAAGCACTAAAATCAAGCTCATCTTTTAGATACAGAAATAGATCCTTAGAGACATTAACTAATTTGCTAAAGGCCATACTTTTAGGAACTAAAATATTCAGTAGGGACTGAAATGTAGGTACATTCCAAAGCACATTAAATACGATACCATACTTCTGTTTTTATGTAATACATAGTTGAAAATATTACCACTGTCTTAACAGAGAAGGAAATGAGGCCCTGCCACAGAAAGGGCAACAATACAGGCAAATGTAATTTTGGGATTCCTAAGCTAAAATTCACTGGCTCTGTCTTTCTCAATTCGTGATGTTTGAACTATATTCTCTACTTCTTTTTGTTTAGCTCAAGGAAAAGCATGTGATTTCTTCTGGTACTGTTGCTGCTACCCGTATTTACCAGTAATCTGAAGAAACAATTATAGGTTCAGTGAAAGAAGATTTAGGGTAACTCTTTTTAAATCTGAGTATAAAAATCCCTATAATGAAAAAACAATTAAGGTTACATTTGTAGAATAAAACAATATATTTTTAAGGAAGCAGAAAAAAATTGAGCATCTTTAATAAAGGATATTTTTAAGGAAACAGCATATTGTCAATAGAGAAAAGATATATATTAAAAGCAACTATATTTAGCTACTTAATCAAAAATATTGAAATCAGAGAAATCAAACGACTTTCAGTTGAAAATGATCTAATTATTGTATTTTACATATAGATAAATAAACTAAGATGCAGAGAGGTGAAGTAAAGTAACTTGATCAATGACATGCGGCTAAAAAGCTGTGGACTTTAACAGGCAGTAAACAATGTAGGCACTTCTCAAACTAGCCAGAGAAGCTCATTTTAAACAGTAAGTCAGAAGCAACTTTTCCATAAAATATAAGATAAAACTAGAGGAAAACAGGCAGAACACTCTCTGACATAAATCACAGCAAGATCCTCTATGATCCACCTCCCAGAGTAATGGAAATAAAAGCAAAAATTAACAAATGGGACCTAATAAACTTAAAAGCTTTTGCACAATGAAGGAAACTATAGGCAAGGTGAAAAGACAGCCTTCAGAATGGGAGAAAATAATAGCAAATGAAACAACTGACAAAGAATTAATCTCAAAAATATACAAGCAGCTCATACAACTCAACACCAGAAAAATAAACGACCCAGTCAAAAAATGTGCCAAAGAACTAAACAGACATTTCTCCAAAGAAGATATACAGATGGCTAACAAACGCATGAAAAGATGCTCAATATCACTCATTATCAGAGAAATGCAAATCAGAACCACAATGAGGAACCATCTTACACTGCTCAGCATGGCTGCTATCAAAAAGTCTACAAACAAATACTGGAGAGGGTGTGGAGGAAAGGGAACCCTCTTACACTGTTGGTGGGAATGCAACTAGTGCAGCCACTATGGAGAACAGTGTGGAGATTCCTTAAAAAACTGGAAACAGAACTGCCATACGACCCAGCGATCCCACTCCTGGGCATACACACCGAGGAAACCAGACTTGAAAGAGACACATGTACCCCAGTGTTCATCACAGCACTGTTTATAATTAGCTAGGACATGGAAGCAACCTAGATGTCCATTGGCAGATGAATGGATAAGAAAGTTGTGGTACATGTACATAATGGAATATTACTCAGCTATTAAAAAGAATGCATTTGAGTCAATTCTATGAGGTCGATGAAACTGGAGCCTATTATACAGAGTGAAGTAAGTCAGAAAGAAAAACATCAATACAGTATATTAATGCATATATATGGAATTTAGAAAGATGATAATGACAACCCTATATGCAAGACAGCGAAAGAGACACAGATGTAGAGAACAGAGTTTTGGACTCTGTTCAAAACTTGAAGGCAAGGGTGGGACGATTTGAGAGAATAACATTGAAACATGTATATTACCATATGTGAAATAGATGACCAGTCCAAGTTCAACGCATGAAACAGGGCACTCAAAGCTGACGTGCTGGGACAACCCAGAGGGAGGGAGGTGGGAGGGGGTTCGGGACGGGGGACACATGTGCACCCGTGGCTGATTCATGTCAATGTCTGGCAAGAACCACCACAATATTGTAAAGTAACTAGCCTCCAATTTAAATAAATTAAAAATATATATAAGGGTAAATAACTTCATTACATCCTTTCTAGAGGACAGGCTATAGCAAATGGTTAACTACTGCTATGAACATAATTTAAGAACTCAGTCCAGGCTGAGGGGAAGAGTTATGATTATGTGAGAAGAGTACAAGAGCAAGAACTCCACAGGCAACTAGTGGAGAGAGCTAACCTCACTCCTGAGAGCTAATCCTTCTCAAAAAAACAAAAACAGGATTTAATTCTAATGAAAACTTATGGGTATTTCCAGATACCACAGCTTATAAAGAAAACTTATGGATGTTTCCAGATACCACAGCTTTCCAAAGAACTAAAAGAACACTTTTCTAACATGATGCAAGGTCAAGTCATACGTAGGTAACACATGTAAATTTTATAGTAAGGATAAGCAAACATAATACAACTCCAGTACAAACCAACAGAAATTGCAAGGGTCAACAAGGGACCAAGTGCTGTGCAGTGGCACTTGTTAGTCATTAGCTATCCTACCTCATGACCTAAGAAATGCCTGAGAACATTAATGATACTTTTCAAATGGGGCAGATGCTGTGGCACACGCACAGTAATAAACGATTCCTACAGAGAAAGCTCAGAAGGCAAACAAACATGGTGGAGGGAAAAGTGGCTGGAATGAGAACAGCTTTGAAAAGAAACACTAACATTAATAACTAAAGATTCATTCTTTCTAAAAAGAAAAGAGTAAGTAATCTATTTACCAGCATGCATAATGAATGGGTGCCCAGTGGTCACTATCTAACTGGTTGACTGAAAATCTTTCATTGAGAAGTCGGTTTAATAATTCTGAATCTCCTTCACAGGCACTTCGATGGAGAGGAAAATCATCTACCCACTGTCGTTCCCTAATCATGAAAAACAAACAAAAACAGCACTGTTGAAATTCAAATTGTTTTGAAACAAATATGACACATCTATGAAAGCTACACATCACCGAACAGCTGTAAACTAAATCATTTACGTGATGATTACATTGCATACTATTTGCATATATCATTTAAAATAATTTTTTAACATTAGAATATAGGCTTTTAAAAAAGCAAAGTGGAGTAAAACCAGAGCACTACTTGTCTTCGGTGACACTGCTCATGCTCCTCTGCCATTTTTCCTGTTTAGGAATTTGGATTTTCGAGTAGTCCGGAGCTCCAAGACCAAAGTATGGATTTATTACCACTTTATCTACCTAGAAAGGGAAAACAGAACAAAAACTGTTTAAGAGCTTTATGACCTTAATGTATAAAAGCAGAGCTAAGTGAGGATGTCATCTCAGTGTTTACAATTACTAATATATGCATTTGTCTCAGGAAAAATAAATTATATTTTGAAATCAAATATCTTTTGAAATAAGAGCCAAAATTCTTACCCGGTTTGTATACTGAAGATCTGATCCAAACAAAGGGTTGTAAATACAGGTATCTGCTTTCTCTAGGGCTAACATTTTACTCTTTATTTCTAGTGCACTGTAGCCCATATGTAGTGAGTTTTCTGCCTGACCTGATTCAGTAGCATATGCAGGGTTTATAACGTTAGTTTTTATCCGCTCAAGAGGAGAAGGTCGGAATAAGGCTGGAATAAAGTGAGACTGTGTGTGACGTTCATCTAGCCACCTGGCAAAATAGAAAGAAGAGGCAGTAGAAGTATTTGTTCTAAAGTGAAGATGAAAAAAGTAAACTATTAACTAACTCTTTCTAATACTACATTCAGATTTTTATAATTTTAATTAGTGTTAAGTATTTCACTTACTGTAAATAAAAGTTTTATTACTGGACACAGCAAACTACTTTTTAAAAATGCATGTAACAAAAAAATGTATATAACACTAAATAATTAAAACCATTTAAAAAACATGAAGCACTTTAAAATTTAAACCATTGAGATATAGGTGACATTAGACCTGCTGTTACAGGACAAAGGCATGACAGGTTAAATGACTTGTTCAGTAATAAGGGTAAGTCAATAATAAATCTTGTTTTATAACAAAGGAATCTTAAGAATTAAGCCAGGGCAATCTTTGTCACTTTCAAAGAATAAAAGTAACATGTTGCAAACAAATCAGGACAATCTTATCTTTGGTGTTTAAAATTTTTATATTATACTTCAAAAACTTACCATTTCGTAATATATATATTATAAATGTTATTATTTTCATCCATAAAGTATATCTATCTCACAAAGCTAATTTCTATTATGAATATGTACTTGATTTATTAAAAATATTTTTAATGGCGGTTCTTACTTATCCAAGGCTATTAACATTCTTGCTGTAAGTGTAGCAAAGTGACTGCTGGATTCACTACAGACTCGCATAATATCTTGTAAGCAGTAAAAAATTGGGCATCCTGGAGTATAAGTATATTTAGTATTATCTGAAAAAGAAAAATGAAGATTTATGCCATCATATAAAAGGCTTACAACTGCGTGTTTTTTATTTAAACGTATACAGTATGTTTTAAAAAATTGATAAGTATAAGTTGTTCTAAACTTGTAATTAGGAGACTTGGATTCAAGGGCTGGCCAGCTCTGTGACCTTGTCCAGTTGGGTGAATGCAGGATTTAGAATCTTGTAGGGTTACAGAAATTGCTTCCTCTTTCTTGCTCAACAATGTTGTAAAATTCTGATTAATAATACGATTTCCAATATCATGTAAAATGGCGAAGTATCTAACCTAAGTGTGGCTGGGAAAAAGAAATCTGGAATGGCAGAGCTGGCTAATGACTACATGTCAAGCAGCGTGCAGCAGCAGTCTGCGAGACGCCCACACTGGGCCGCCGCTATGCCGCCAGTGCGGTGACTGCCCTCCAGGAGGCCAGTGCGCGGCGGGCTGCAAAGCGAGCTTGCGCCCAGCGCCTCACCGGGCTCTCCCGGCGCAGCGAGTCAAGCAGGGGCAGAGGCCCGCCCCAAGAGGGAGGCGAGGCTGCCGGCAGTGCTTGCCCACGGCGGAGAAGTGGTGGGCTGCAGGCCTGACGGGGCTCGGAGCTTTTCTGTTGTTCCAGCATACAGGGTAAGTTCCTTGTCGAAGCTCAAATTGAATTTTCACATTAGATCTAAGTTCTTTAAACATTACCATTATTGTTGGGTGGAGTATTCTAAAACTATCACTGACACTTTCTTATCCCAAATACAAGATAGGTCCTAATCATAATCTGTGAATTTTCCAAAAGACATACATTTTTATTTCTATTTATATAGCAAAGTCTGAAAAATCCCTCATTATAACCTGAAAACTTTTTGTTTTTATTATCGCTTCCTTCCTCACTTCTTTATTCTACTTTTAAAAACAGAAACAAAAACTTTACTATTAGTCCAGAAGCCTGAATATTACTTGGGAATCAAAACGTTGTTAAGTAACAAATTTCTCCATCTTCCATTATATTAAAAACATGATTTTTACAATAGTATTGCAAGAGTAACTATGACTCCAAATTCCTAAGTTCCTCCATAGACTTTAGCTTAGCACTTAAGGTACACCAAGATTCACAAGATGAAACTCAAGGCTTTACCTTTAACAACTGACGGAACAATAAATAACGCTGCTTCTCTGCCCACCTTCTCCCCATCCAGAGGAAATGTCTTCATCAGGACCACTCGTTTTCCTAATCATTTTAGTCAGTAAAGATAAAAATAATGGGCCTTTTAAAATCTTATAAATTACCTTGAGAATTAGAAAAAATATTTTAAAGGCAGTATTAAGAGGAACTGAAATATAAAAAGTCAATTTTATTATATGCACTAATAAAAACTGGTAATTCTGATAACAACGTACATCATTCTGTAGGCAATTAACCAACAGATCCCTGGCCCTGACTCGCTAGGAGAGAAGCTCCCCACACACAGCAAGGACATCCGCCCACTAAGGACTGACAGCGCAGCTCAACAGCAGAGCGTCCTGCAAGCTGAAGCGGCACGGACGTCTTCATTCAGTTGGGATGTAGATGGTGAGAACTGTAGTAAAGTCTGAGCTGGCCAAGGAGGGTAGTATATACAAATTACAGAGTTCTAAAATTTAGTAACCTTTCATTTAATATTCAACCTCCATCCTCAATTTCAGGCTTTATTAAAATCTGATTGGGCTATAAATTATTGTTCTGAATTGTAACCATCATTCTTAAGTCTGTTGTTCCTGATTTGGCAGCAAGGGGGCAATAAATAATAACCTATAAGTTTTTCACTCTGAAACCTTTCACTTTCTGGCTATCTTTGTCATGATTTTTATCAACCCTTCCAACCTCCCCACCCCCAGAAACAGAACCTTGTTCTTGACCCAGGTAGAAATGCCTGGCTGGATGCCATCTGTGGACAAGTAGACACTACAAGCATTCAAACAGCTTCATTCATTCACAAAATGCTACAGTGAATATTTGTGATTATTATGGCCAATTATTATTATAGCCCCTAAACAATTTTCTAAAAAATTGACACTTGTACAAAATACAAGTGTTAGATAAAGAAAAACATTCTATGCAAACTAGTACAGCCGGTATGGAAAACAGTGTGGAGATTTCTTAAAAAACTGGAAATAGAACTGCTATATCACCCAGCAATCCCACTTCTGGGCATACACACCGAGGAAACCAGATCTGAAAGAGCCACGTGCACCCAGTGTTCATCGCAGCACTGTTTATCATAGCCAGGACATGGAAGCAACCTAGATGCCCATCAGCAGACAAATGGATGAGGAAGCTGTGGTACATATATACCATGGAATATTACTCAGCCATTAAAAAGAATTCATTTGAATCAGTTCTAATGAGATGGATGAAACGAGCCCATTATACAGAGTGAAGTAAGCCAGAAAGATAAAGACCATTACAGTATACTAACACATATATATGGAATTTAGAAAGATGGTAACGATAACCCTATATGCAAAACAGAAAAGGAGACACAGATGTATAGAACAGACTTTTGGACTCTGTGGGAGAAGGCGAGGGTGGGATGTTTCAAGAGAACAGCATTGAAACATGTATATTATCTAGGATGAAACAGATCACCAGCCCAGGTTGGATGCATGAGACAAGTGCTCGGGCCTGGTGCACTGGGAAGACCCAGAGGGATTGGGTGGAGAGGGAGGTGGGAGGGGGGGTCGGGATGGGGAATACATGTAAATCCATGGCTGATTCATGTCAACGTATGACAAAAACCACTACAATATTGTGAAGTAATTAGCCTCCAACTAATAAAAATAAATTAATTAATTAAAAATAAAACGGTGACGTAATTGTTCAGAAAATGATATGAAAAATGAAGTTTTACAGATATAGATTAAAAACAAAAACTAAAGCAAAGCAACTAATAGTTATAATATAAAAAATATAATCAGAGGATGAAAGACTGAGTAGAGGACACACAGAACAATCTTAAAAAGAGTAGAATTTAGAGAAAAACCAAATATATTTAAGTATGATACTTGTAATTCTTCCTTTTCAATTCTGTTTTTTGTTGTTATGATTGTTGCATTATTGAATTGGCCAGGATTGACCAGTGTATCTTTTTTTAAAAAATAAATTTATTCATTTTTATTTAAAAAAAAAAGAAAAGAAAAACATTCTAATAAATTTCAGAGGTAATATTACTTTTGTCTGGTTTGAGGTCTTGTCCCACTTAATCTTTCCTGCCTTGTAGCTTCCTTAAACCTAGTTCTGATCCAAACTGACTACTTTGCCCATTTTATATGCAATTGTGAGATCTATTTCGGGCAGGGGTGGGGGTCCGGGGAGGAGTAAAGCACTGACTACAAGTTGGGAGATACAGTTCTTGTCCTAACTCTTCCACAAATGGGAATATGATTTTTCTAGGTGCCTATGTCTGCATTTCCATTTTACAGATGTGAAAATGACTATATACCAACTCACAGGATCAATTTAAGAATTTCATGGATAAGTAATTGTGGTACTGCTTTGTAAACTACATATAGCATTGCACAAAAAGGCAAAACTACTGCAGTTATAAAGTCATTTCTAATTTTCATGTGATGCTTATGTAAGAAATCTTCTCTATAAAAATATTTCACACTTTTAGACAAACTCAATTGACTAGGATAGTCAGGTATGGTATGGTTCATTATTTTAACTATTTAGTTAAGCAAAAACTTCTTTGTTTTCATTTCTCTTATTAAAAGCTGCCTGAAAATTTATTAGCACGTTCTACTGTCTAAGTATACAAGACATAATTGTGCTAGACATATTTCAGGGTGCCTATCCACTCGTAACTTCTAAGAAAAACTACCCATTCCTCTGTGCCAGGGGACATTTTTGTTCACACTATCACTTATATCCCCTTCCTTGGTGAATGAACCAAGTGTTAGAGTTTGGCTAATTCATACCAAATTATGACTTGTCTATCTCAGCTCAAATACGTGATTTGGGCTCAGACTTTGTCTCAGTAATTTGATCTCAGAATAGATCCTGATAACTAAAATAATTTAGTAATAGTAATACAAACTACTAAGAGAAGTCTAAGACAGGTAGAAAAAGCTGACAAATTTGTGGCATCCAAAGGAGCCTTTCACATGCCTGACCACCCACAGGGATAGTCCCCTTTTTCAGCTAAGATCATTTCTAGATCACTTTATTTAAAAAGTCAACCTGATAATCAGGGAAAGGGGATTCTCTTTGTGGGACTCAGAATGTGTATCAAAGAGCTGTAAGTTTATGCAGGAACTTCTTATAATCTCCAGTTACAATGGTCAGAGCTATAAAAACTCTTCAGGCCCTATTGAGGTTACCTGTTGGGGAGGTAAAATACGGTAAATGGTACCTTCAGAAGTTATGAAACAGTCTTATTTCAGCTATCTCTAGAGAACAAGTATCCCAAATAACCAACAAATCAAATGACATGATTCAGCCTTATCGCTGCAACAAAAATAGTCTCTTTAGTGAAAAGAGATGAATTATATAACTATCCTCTATAAAGATGAACAAACAAACAAACAAAAAACTGAATAAGCTGTAAAAAACCAAAAATTTAGGCACAGAGAGTTATGTTTTACTTCACTGTCGACAACTGTGTTCAACAGTTGTCTGACTGAACTTAGCTTTACCTTTTTAATTATAATTCCTGAATTCTGGACAGATATATAATTTCTAGAACTTCTAACTGGTATCTGCTTCTTGTGAGGCACAGCCTGATAAAATTGATCACTGATATTTAATCAGTTTCATAAGCTATAGATTATCTAATATTGTAAATGGGGCCTGAACCTTTCAGACTGAATATTTCTACAGTTCTCAGTTTGGCTCCTTGAAAATGATTTTCTTCTTGTGACCAAACGGGAAGAAAACCTCTGCTACCTGGTAATTTATACGACTTGCTCTAATACACAGAATCTTAACTGTTACTTAGTTATGGAGAGAGGTTTCTAGTTTTCTGTGTCCTGGAGTAGAGAAATAAAAATAATAGTTCAAAGATACTTATCTAGGGAAATATACTTCTAACAAAAATAACTTGTGCTTTCTTATTAGTTTTCAAGCCACTTTGGCTTTCTCTCTTTCTTGAACAAATCATTAACACAACTGAAATATTTCTCTAGAACTGCCATATGATCTAGCAATCCCACTCCTGGGCATATATCTGGAGAAAGCCGTAATTCAAAAAGATATATGCATCCTAATGTTCAATGCAGCACCATTTACAATAGCCAAGACATGGAAGCAACCTAAAAATCCATCAGCAGAGGAGTGAATAAAGATGTGGTACATACATACAATGGAATATTACTCAGCCATAAAAAGCAACAGAACTGTGCCATATGCAGAAATATGGATGGACCTAGAGATGGCCACACAGAGCAAAGGAAGTCAGAGAGAGAAAAATATATTAAGGCATATATGTAAAATCTAGACAAGTGTCACAGATGAGCTTCTTTGCAAAGCAGAAACAGAGACACGGAGATAGAGAATAAACATGGATACCAAGGGAAGAAGGGGAGGGTGGGATGGATTGAGGCACTGGGATTGACATATATACACACCACTGTGTATAAAACAGGAGACTAATGAGAACCAACTGTGTAGCACAGGGAACTCTCCTCAGTGCTCTAAAGTGACCGAAATGGGAAGGAAATTAAAAAAAAGAGGGCATTCATGTATAGATATAGCTACCATGAAATTAAAAGACGCTTACTCCTTGGAAGGAAAGTTATGACCAACCTGGACAGCATATTTAAAAGCAGAGACATTACTTTGCCAACAAAGGTCTGTCTGGTCAAGGCTATGGTTTTTCCAGTGGTCATGTATGGAAGTGAGAGTTGGACGGTGAAGAAAGCTGAGCGCCAAAGAATTGGTGCTTTTGAACTGTGGTGTTGGAGAAGACTCTTGAGAGTCCCTTGGACAGCAAGGAGATCCAACCAGTCCATCCTAAAGGAGATCAGTCCTGTGTGTTCATTGGAAGGACTGATGCTGAAACTGAAACTCCAATACTTTGGCCACCTGATGCGAAGAGTTGACTCATTGGAAAAGACCCTGATGCTGGGAGGGATTGGGGGCAGGAGGAGAAGGGGATGACAGAGGATGAGATGGCTGGATGGCATCACCGACTTGATGGGCAGGAGTCTGAGTAAACTCCGGGAGTTGGTGATGGACAGGGAGGCCGGGCGTGCTGCGGTTCATGGGGTCGCACAGAGTCGGACACGACTGAGCGACGGAACTGAACTGAACGGAACTGAAGCTAGTTTACTTTGCTGTAAAGCAGAAACTAACACAACACTGTAAAGCAACTATACTCCAATTAAGAAAAAAGAAACTGAAAAAATATTTTAATTTTTTTTTACTTAAAATTATTCAAGTATTTAAAAAATATTAACTTAAAAAGCATTATAGTCAAGGAACTTCTTGAAGGGAGTTTGCTTCCAGCTTAAAAAAAACTCAGAAATTTATGAGCCTTTTTCAAGTTTTTCAATGAAAAGGATCATAAAAAGAAACTGACTTTAATATATTTTTTAAAATGTCTTCTTTCACAAGCATTTAAAACCAATTGTGTTAAAAAGAAAAGTTTCTTACCTCTGATACCCTGGTTTGCAGGAGAAATTGGTTTGGTGGTTTCTACTACATAGTCCAATATGCCTTGTGTTATTTCACTGTTACCTTGCAGTTTAGTTTCCAACAAAACCTTCTTTCTCTTTTTTTTCTGTCCTTCAATGGGAACTTCATGCAACAAAATCTTGGATGAGAAAAACAACATTAAGAGAATGTTTAAAATAAAATTTACTTGCCCTAAAATATAGCCAGCAATCTTTCTTAACCTCAAGCCTAGCTGCACATCAGAATAACATGAACCCTTTCAAGACAGCATCAATGTGCAGCTTCATCTCAGACCTAGTAAATGGGAATGTGAGGGGAGTGAGGTGGGGCGCTGGCAGTTTTAAACTTCCCCAGGGGATCGAGAGTGTAGCCAGGACTGAGAAGCAGCAAGCCTCAGCACTGCTGAAGGGCAATCTTCTCAGAAGCCTTGCGATATCCTTTAATAGGTTTCAGATAGCTGACCTTAAAGGCAATTAAAGCAGAATACTCAGAGATACAGGCTCAGTCCTTGGGTGGAAAAGAGAATGGCAAACCCATCCAGTATTCTTCTCTGGGATATCCCATGGATAGAGAAGCCTGGGGGTCTACAGCCCATGGGGTCACAAAGCGTTGGACAGGACTGAGCGGCTATGCACGCCTGCAGAGAAGTTAGTTGAAATTAGATTAGACTAGAAGTATTTTATGATGCTTGAATCTGCTGCATGGTAAAGATAAAATCTGCTTTGGGCTTTTCTTTTTTTCAGTCTCAGTCATGTTTACTAATACTAATAATGTATTCAAGACTTTAGAGAAGTAACTTAATTACCTAAAACAATTAAAGGTAAAGATATTTTTTAATGAACTGTTAAAAATAGAGTTTTGGAAAATAACCATGAACAAAATTTAGACTGGAATTTTGAATAAGCTGAATTTTGCAATTTTTTCTGCAAGCCATTCCATAAACTCTAGTAAAAACCAAACTGTTATAAATTATATATGCAAAACTCAAATAAGTAACTTTTACTATCTAAGAATTTATCCATATCAATGAATAGAAAAATGGTCAAAATACATGCAGCAGAAAGAAAAAGACATGGTGATGGGCAGAACTCTACAATCGTAAATTCAAGCTTGTCAATATCTAGGTTATCAATAAGAATTTACAGGCTATGGTAAGACTTTATATGTAAATGAAAATGATAATGGAGGATAACATTCAGTGGTAGAAAATCAAATGTTAGTAAACTGTGCTCACTTCATATGACTTAGCTCTGTATTCCCGAGAATTGAGACTGGCAGCATTCTTTGGCCGAATAACAGCAACGTATGCATCCTCTATGTTTTCTGGATTTCCCATTGCTTTATAAAAACAAAGAAATCCCTTGAAAGATTAAAGGAGACATAATCATGATTGAGAACAAATTAATAAAATCTTGGTTTTTCTGTCCTGGAATATATATAGTATATAAAAAGCAAGCAGAGATGACTGATCGTATCTCACCACTAGTAAACCTCTATGCATAATTTAAGATACCTTGTAGTCTTTGTTTCCTTTTCTATTAAAGGTAGATTTTTGTTTTTTTTAAACGGGGATATATAATTTATAGGTCTTGGCAGATTCTTTATTAAGAATCTGCCTTTTGGACCTGTAAAAGAGGTGATATAATTATAAAAACATCTTATAAATACTCAGTAAAAGTGCCTTGAAATAGTGATTCAGAATAGTACCCATAAATTCCAAAAGCGAATGTCATATTGTTAAATATGGAAGCTAGAAACAGGTAGCTGCCATTGACATTCTTTCCAGAATCTTTAAAAAGAACTTTGATATTTGGATGAACTAAAGGATAGTTTATAATTTTCACTGGAGATGCCTATCACAGACACAAAAACATTAAATCAGTTGATAAAAGCTTTCTGATATCCACTTACAAATGTTCTTCACTTCCATTATCAATGCCTTAGATAATTCAAAAATTTGCTTCCAAATACATATACATATGTACACTTTTTCCCCCAGACTAATTTTAACTCTCCATTGGGCAATTTCCAACAAGTAATTGAAGCTCAAGCACTTTCTTGGTTGTTTAATAGTCCCATCTCCTCATTAAGTGCTATTATAATTTTTTTTTTCATGGCTGGACTGATTTTTCTTTTTCATGGGCTTCTCTGGTGGCTCAGATGGTAAAGAATCTGCTTGCAATGCAGGAAACCTGGGTTCGATCCCTGAGTTGGGAAGATCCCATGGAGGAGAACATGGCAATCCACTCCAGTATTCTTGCCTGGAGAATACCCATAGTGGGCTATAGTTCATGGGGTCGCAAAGAGTCAGACACAACTGAGCGACTAAACACAGCACACACAGACTAAAATACATCTCTTTGTACTGAATATATTTTTTTTTAAATTTCCCTCTCATTTATATGCCAGTAAATTTCAAGAAGAACATCAAGCAAGGAGTTGCTTTCCTGGCCGTGGTAAGATGAACCTTCTTCAGTTTTTTAAAAAGTCCATTAGGCATTAAAATGATCTGTTTATATTTAATAATTTCCTATTGCTCCAACTCTCAGAAAAAAAGAGCTCATTTTCAAGAAAGGTTTTGAATGTCATCTGAGAGGAGACAGAGGACTTTTTACTGTTCTCTCAACTGCAAAATAAAGTCATATGGAAATCTTTAATTCACTTCTTTACATAATAACAAAAAATCTTTAATTTACTCCCTTCCACTGCCTTAAAACTGGAAAATTTCCCTAAAAAGAATGCTTTTAAAATTCAGTAACTTTTGACATTTTAAGTAAACACTAGCTAAAATTTTAAAAGAATTAAAATTATTGTACAAAATTTTAAAATTATTTTAATTTATAAATTATTTAAGTAATACAACTTTATAAGATTTATTTATAAATTAAAAAAATTCCTAGGTTATAAAAATTTTCACTAATTTAGATCCAGACAAACTATAGATAACAGAGAAACTACAATAAAACATTAGGTTTGAGACATTTCATCTTGTGAAAAGTTTTGAAGACATGCATTCTCACTCTATACCTTGTGGGATTTTTTCAGTTCGGTTTTTTCATAAGACCATCTTAAAAACCACCTCATGCAACAGAACTTCCTATTAGTGAAAAAGATGAGAGTTTTTTCGTCTCAGAATTTCAGTTTAGCATTTACTTTTCACCTCAGATTAACAATGACTTCAAGATATAAAACCTACTAAGTTTTGAAATGTATGCCTGCCTCTTTGAATACTGACAGTCCCCAAAAGAAAGATATGCATTATGAATACACTGTATAACATACATGGCACAATTACAGAAAGCCTTTTTCTATTAAGCATCTAAAATGAGAAATCAAGTAATTCTTAGTTTTCTAAACACACTTTAAAGCAAATTAATTAAACTGTTGGTCACCTCATGTTAAAAAAAAATCTATTGGCAAAGTGCTTTATTTCCTAACACTTATCACTTATCTAGAATATTTGGTATTGCACAGTACACTGAATTTTTAAAAGATAAACAAATGTGATACAATAAAGAAATGAATATTTGATATATATATACTTCCAGTGACATGAAAGAAGAAAACAAAGGCTTAAATTAGGAAAAGAACAAAGGCTACTAGTATATGAAGACAAAACTGCTAAGGCAGAATCACATGCAGAAGGACTGAAAGAGAGTAATCTGAGCTAGAAATAACAGAAAAAGGTATAACTAGAGTTTGTAATGCGTTTATACTGATTTTAGATAAGCGTTCAAGTGACTAAGAATAGGAAGAATGTGGCATTTTGTTCACGAATCATTCTGTTCTGGAAAATGCTTACGTGTAAATGATAATATGTTGCCTGACTAATGATGCCTTACAAATAAGTGAAGAGGTTCTCATTTGGCCATGACATCTACTAGGCATCATTTGAAAATACATACAGGCATTTCTCATCACTATGACTGGGTGAGAAATGGGGTGAACAGATGCCATTTGGTCCTCAGGGGGCAGGTCCTGTTGAATAAACTGCCAATAATGTTGTTAATAAGAAACGTTTACTACATAGAGTACAGATGGACAAATTTAATGAAATGAATTTATTTATTTAGGCCATGCCACAAGACTTGCAGGATGTTAGTTCCCTGACCAGGGATTGAAACTGGGACCTAGGCAATGAATGCACAGTCTAAATTAACCACCGGACCGCCACAGAATCCCTGAAATGGACAAACTTTCAAAGTATTTTTGCAGTGCAGAAAAAGAGAAGATTCAGTACATGAATATAGGTATTGTAAATTTAGTTACCAGAAGTCAAAACTGACAGGATGATTTGTGTATGCAGCTGCTCAGTCCTGCCCGACTCTTTGAGACCCCATGGATGGTAGCCTGCCAGACTCCACTGTCCATGGGCTTCTCCAGGCAAGAATACTCAGTGGGTTGCCATTTCCTACTTCAGACAAGATGATTCACCAGTTTGCAAAGTACATGCTAATATAAATTAGCAACAATGATCAGAAAGTGTACTTCATGAATTAAAAACAAAAAAATGGAGCATTATCTTAGGGCTCTGTAGGATGTTCCTGATTCCCTCTCCTCCATCCTTAAGCAATGTTTCTCAACTTTTAAAAATAATATGAATAATTACCACCACTTACAATGATTATTACAGTCTAGATACTGTGCTAAGGGCTTTACATGCATTAACTCATTTTATTCTTCCCCAAACCTGATGATGTAGGTATTATTATTGTTATCTCCATTTTACAGAAGAAAAAAACCGAGGCGGAGTAGCTAAGTTACCAGCCACTTCTCCACTCTCATAAAACGATTTAATATTTTAAAGCATTATAGCATTAGAGACAAGAGATGGCAACTAAATATCAGTAAGAACTTCCCTCCAAGGATAGGCTGGCCATTAGAAATTTCATCCTTTTCCCACTCAAATTGGCTTACAGTTACAAAAAGAGAGGAAACAATAATACAGCAGAATAGAAGTCATTGGTGCTATTTCTAGTTTGCTCTGTTCCTGTCCTTTCAACCAGTTCTACCAAACATTAGGTAATATCAAAAAGCATCACTGGTAATTTTCAAGTACTTTCTTTCTGTTAAGTCACATTCTCTTCTGAAAGATATTTACTAATCTTCAAATAACTTTTGAAGGCAATTATACTAAATCTGACTAACAGAGAAGGAACTAATGAATTCCTACAGTGAACATCAGGTATATTTAAGGAGGTTATTTGGGGGAGCATGATTTCATCCTTAGTATATCCAAATATACTTTATATCAAGTGCTACTGTGGTTCCACAACCCAGTTCGAAGAGAAAAATAACCAATACACTAACATGGGATTAAGTCGAAAAGACCATCAAATATTCGATTTTCTATTGTTATGAAAACATTTTCGAGCTTTTGACATTTTCCCTCAAATAAATAAGGACATCAAAACAGTTAAAAAACATGATGCTGAAGGAAGCATTGGCAAGTAAACTGAAGTTAAAAAACCACTCCATGAGTGAGATGGGAATGGAGGTGAAATCCGGAGTCAGGTCAGCTAGATGAAAAATTTCTGGTGAAGCTAAAACCACCACGGAGAAACAAGCAAAGAAGGACAGCCAAAAGCTTTAAAAGATGCAGAGGACAGAGAGGAGGGGTGAGCTGCTGTCAATCGCTTTTCCTGAAGTGAAAAAATAAACACTTCCTAGGAGGGTCTTCCTCGGCCACCACCACCCATCAGCGTCCACTACCAGAAAAGGGCGGGCACGCCTCTCTGCACAGAGACGCCACCCAAAAAGTGTCTTTGGCGTCTCTGTAACTACTTATAAGAAATGAAGTCCTTGCCTGGATCGAGACAGTTCGGTCTCTCTCGTTGGAGTCCGGATCCTCCTCCTCGTCTCACCCGTGCAGGGAGCCGAGCGCCTCCCGGGCCGCTACATTCAACTCAGTGGGTGGGACAGTCACCTGGGGGGCGGGGGCGGGGGACCTTCACAGCTTTCTCAATTTCGCCTTCCCTTAGCTTTCCCAGCGGCCAGGCCCAACTTCCTGTGACAGACAAACACTCGGTCGCCAACTGAAGCCGCCCGGCGTGTACGGCCGCGACCCACACCCGGCAACTCGAGAGATCCGGTCTCTGGGGTCGGAGAGCCTCTTGCCCACCGGCTCTTTATTGGCCTCTGCTCGCCTCTGAGCTCTGCGCCATACACACTTCACCTGCTCTCTAAACTAGGGGATTCCAGGTCTTCAAAGGCCTTAGCTTTCCATCCCGCTGCTACCGGGGCGAGGAAATCGCTTCCGGGTTCACACCCCTTGAAGCCTCGCGGTTGGCGTGGAAGAGCTTCCGGGGCGGTGGCTGAGGTGCTGCCGTTCCTGCCGCTTCTCGCTGGGACTGCCGGCTGTCTGGGGCTGGTGGCGCTGGTGGCGAGCGGCTCGGGGACGGGGTGGTGGCGGCTGCGGGCGCGCCAGCAGCTGAGCCGGAGGCGGGGGAGGGGAGGAGGACGGCCCGGGCTGCGCGCGCTCGCGCTCCAGGCTGGAGCCTGAGCCGGACTTGACCGCGAGGCGGAGGCGAGAGCCACCGCCTCCTCTTCCCCTCCCCCGAGTAAGGCGGCGCGGCGGCCAGAAAGGGATGGGGGGCGCCCGCCCAGTCTGAGCCTCGCCGCGGGCGCCCTCCAGCTCTCGCAGCGTCCCCGCGGGCTTCCAGTGCGCACTCTCGGCCCCAGCAGTCTCTGCCAGGCGGGAGCATCCGGGCCGGCGAGGAGGGGGCGCACGCCGAGAAGGGGCGTCCCCCCGGGTGGGTGGGGCGCAGAGAGTACCTGAGGTCACCGGCTCGGCGGGAGAGACAGGGGCGCCACGGCGGTGGCAGAACTGCAGAGCTGCAGGGTCCACCCGACCCTTACCCTCAGCCCGGGAAGTAACCGTAAGTCTCAGCCTCGCCGTGCGGGTCTTTTTGAGGCGGTTTCTACCCATTTTGAGCTCCGAGTTCAGCGCTACCTAGTTCACGCCCTCCCGGGACTTTTACAGATGCCGTCTCCCTTCTCTTCTGGAGGATTGTCTGTTCCCGTCTCTGAACAGGCAACGTCCTCTGTCTGCCTCATGTGAGCTTTTCTGTCAGCGAATTTGCAAGCCTCGGTGTCTCCGTTGCGCGTCCCAGCCTCCTCATCGGGATGCATTTCCTTGTCCCTCCGTCCTCAAAGGATCTGTGTCCTCCCTCTTTTTCTATGTGTACCCCGGACCTCACAGCGTCCCCCGCACCTCACAGCGTCCCCCGCCCATCCTCTGAGACGTGGAAAGCCACGGGTTCGTCCGTTTTGGAGAGCTCGAGAGTCTGGAGCGGGTGGATGGATAAAAGCGTTCTTGAGGGCTGTGATGGGTGGGGATAATAGCTCCAGTGAACCTTTATTTTTGCAGCTTCTGCCACCGCACAAAAACGGGCCGCT